TATATAATAAAAGTATTGTTATTATAAATACTTAAAAAAAAAATTTTTTTTCCAAATGATTTAATTTTTTTTAAAGTATTTAATAGTCACTAATAAAAATATTCTTATTATAAGCGTATATAATTATAAGCGTATATATCCACTGGTTAAAATATAAAAGAAAAAAATTATATTATATTTTATTTGGCACATATATAATTTTTATAAATGAAGCAAAATACTTGCGATCGTCATCGAGCTCCCCAATGCCTGCACCTTATTCACAATCGGAATCAATGAGATTCCGAGCGCCGCCTGTTTGGACCGCGACGACTCTGTGTTGGCGCCGGAAACCGCGCGCTCCGACATCGAATTCTTCTGATCAACGAGCACACAACGACAGTATTCTGGCTGCGCTCAATATGAACCTGCTGCATTCCGGGAGTTCTCGGAATCCTGTCGTTGTGCTGGTTGATCAGAAGAATTCGATGTCGGAGCGTGCGGTTTCTGTCGCTAATACAGAGATGTCGTCGTCCGAACAGGCGGCGCTAGGCGGCGCTCGGAAGCTCATTGATTCCGATTGTGAATAAGGTGCAGGACAGCTTCGCACAGCTGGAGAGCTCGTCGACGATCGACCTGCAGCAGGTGGCAGTGGTAGGAATTCAAAGCAGCGGCAAGTCGAGAGTATTGGAGGCGCTCGTCGGCCGAGATTTCCTTCCGCGTGCCTCTGATATTTGCACGCGACGCCCGCTTTTGCTTGAACTGGTTAACATTTCTCGCTGGCCGGATGCGCCAGCAGACGAGGAGGATTGGGGAGAATTCTCACACCTTCCCGCGAAGCGGTACTACAACTTCTCGGAAATCCGGTGTGAGATTGAGGTGATGAGGCGCAACACTTTGCGCTTGTAGATCATTCACGCCTAATTTCTTTATTTATTTTGTTGTATTGGGAAGATGCGCGAACCTCGCATGCTGCTTGTTTTGCTACATTAGCTGTGTTTATAGTTTATGCTTACATATTCTTTGACGCATTTTTCAAATTTAAAGCCATAAGAAGGAAATTTCTGCAGAAATTGTGCTTCTTAGGTAGGCTCCACTAGTGAGTTTTGAGGGATTTTGTTGCAGATTTCCCGTGCCAGAAGTTTCAATGCAGTAATGAGTATTTTCCCCAGCCAGTGAAATATGTTTTTCGTGATTCTAATTGCTTTTGCACCTAATTCAACTAAATTGTGCTTTTAGACCCTTTGACATTTGTTCTATAAGTCTATTGCTGTATTGACTAATGCACTTTATGGCTTTTATTTATATTTTCATTTTATCTATTGGTCAGTGTTTCGTGAAATTGAATAGTAAATCTACAGGCTCAAACTGACCGTGAAGCTTTGGGTAACAAAGGAGTTTCAGACAAGCAAATTCTTTTGAAGATTTTCTCTCCAAATGTTCTTAATATCACCTTGGTTGATTTTCCCGGAATAACAAAGGTTCCAGTAGGCAATCAACCAAGTGACATCGAAGCTATAATCAGAACAATGATACTGTCATACATTAAGCATGAAAATTGTATAATATTGACAGTTTTACCAGCAAATGCAGATTTATCAAACTACGATGCACTTCAAATGGCCCGGATTGCTGATCCAGATGGATGATGCTTTGATTACTTTTATACTTGTATGTTACAAATCAGGATTGTAAATTTGTCGAGTGATTTGTTTGTTCTGAAAAATAATGAAAATTAAGGGGCATTTACATTCATAACAACAAATTCTTATGTTTTTACATATCTAACACCTATACCTTACTTTTACATTTATACCGCCCAAATCTTTCATATCACATAAAAAAATGCCACTATTTCAACTTTTAGAAAATGAAATGCACATTTTCATGCATAGGTAGTGTGTCATATGTAAAAATTGAAGTTTAGGTATTAGTTATTTAAATACATAAGAATTCAGTAGAATGTATGTAAATTTTCTTAAAATTACATTGCCAAGTCATCTTTTTGATATCCTTGTTCTTTCAGGTTCTCGAACGATTGGCGTCATCACAAAGGTAGTATATTTATATGCCATTTATATTTTGGTAAATGTTATTTTTTTTTCTTTGCTAAGCTAATTATCTCTTTATGACTTACAGCTAGATATAATGGACAGAGGTGTAGATGCATGTAATTTTCTACTGGGAAATGTGATTTCTCTTCGACTTGGCTATGTCGGTGTGTTTAATCGTAGTCAACAGGTAATGACCCATAATTTTTTTTATAATTGCAGATTTATAAGTCCTTACCCTAAAATCTCAACCAAGAGTCATAACCATTTTGGGAAGTTTTAAAAGTACAAATCAATGTATGTGTGTTGGGTTTTGGGGTTGGGGTGGGGGGCGGGCGTTGCTATTTATAATATGTGGAGTATGTCATCCTAGTATAACTACAAGTCAATGCAGGTTATTTAAAAATTTATTTTAGTAACATGTGTTGTTGATCATAATTTAATTTTCTCAAATGCAACAAACTAGACATCGTATCCTATGAGAACATGTCTGAATATGACATCCTATTTAGGGATGTAGACGAGCCAAGTTTGAGCAAGCTCAATGTGTGTTCATGTTCGACTTGTTTATATTTTTTGGTTCGGAATTGATTTATCTCGAAATGGTTCATGAACAATCCGTTCGTGTTCGACAAAAAAAATATTCATGTTGGTTTTTAACTCGTGTTCTGCTCATACTGGCTCGTTTAAATTAATTTGAAAAATAGCATCGGGTGCTAAATTCATACTTGTACCATTCCCATGCATTAGAAAGCGCAATATATATATATATAT